AGCACCCAGATACATAAGGCAAGTTCTTAATGACTTACAAAAGGACTTAGACTCCCACACAATAATAGTGGGAGACTTTAACACTCCACTGTCAATACTAGACAGATCAACCGGACAGAAAATCAACAAGGATACCCAGGGCTTGAACTCAGACCTGGAGCAAGCAAACCTGGTGGACATTTACAGAACTCTCCACCCCAAATCCACAGAATACACATTCTTCTCAGCACCACATCACACCTACTCTAAAATTGACCACATAATTGGAAGTAAAGCACTGCTCAACAAATGCAAAACAACTGAAATCATAACAAACAGCCTCTCAGACCATAGTGCAATCAAGTTAGAACTCAGAATTCAGAAACCGACCCAGAACCGCACAGCTTCACGGAAACTGAACAACTGGCTCTTGAATGTTGACTGGGTAAACAACGAAATGAAGGTAGAAATAAAGAAGTTCTTTGAAAACAATGAGAACGAAGACACAACGTGCCAGAACCTCTGGGACACATTTAAAGCAGTCTCTAGAGGAAAGTATATAGCAATAAGTGCCCATATGAGGAGAATGGAGAGATCCAAAATTGACACCCTATCGTCAAAATTGAAAGAGCTAGAGGAGCAAGATCAAAAAAACTCAAAACCCAGCAGAAGACAAGAAATTACTAAGATCAGAGCTGAGCTGAAGGAGATTGAGACACGAAAAACCCTTCAAAAAATCAATAAATCCAAGAGCTGGTTTTTTGAAAAGATCAACAAAATAGACAGACCACTAGCCAGGTTGATTAAAAAGAAAAGAGAGAACAACCAAATAGATGCAATAAAAAATGATAAAGGGGAAATCACCACAGATTCCACAGAAATTCAAACCATCATCAGAGAATATTACAAACAACTCTATGCGCATAAACTAGTAAACCTGGAAGAAATGGATAAATTCCTGAACTCCTGTGTCCTCCCAAGCCTAAACCAGGAGGAAGCTGAAACTATGAATAGACCAATAACAAGGTCTGAAGTCGAGGCAGCAATTAAGAGCCTACCACACATAAAAAGCCCAGGTCCAGACGGGTTCACAGCCGAATTCTACCAGACACACAAGGAAGAGCTGGTACCATTCCTTCTAAAACTATTTCAAACAATCCAAAAAGAGGGAATCCTTCCCAAATCATTTTATTAGACCAACATCATCCTGATACCAAAACCCGGCAGAGACCCAACGAGAAAAGAAAACTTCAGGCCAATATCCATGATGAACATAGATGCAAAAATCTTCAATAAAATATTGGCAAGCCGATTGCAACAGCAAATCAAAAAACTTATTCATCATGATCAAGTAGGATTCATCCCGGGGATGCAAGGCTGGTTCAACATACGCAAGTCTATCAACGTAATTCACCACATAAACAGAACCAAAAACAAAAACCACATGATTATCTCAATTGACGCAGAGAAGGCATTTGACAAAATTCAACAGCCCTTTATGCTAAAAACCCTCAATAAACTCGGTATCGATGGAACGTATCTCAAAGTAATAAAAGCTATTTATGACAAACCAACAGCCAATATCATACTGAATGGGCAAAAACTGGAAGCATTCCCTTTGAAATCTGGTACTAGACAAGGATGCCCTCTCTCACCACTCCTATTCAATATAGTACTGGAAGTTCTAGCCAGAGCAATCAGGCAAGAAAAAGAAATAAAGGGTATTCAAATAGGAAAGGTGGAAGCCAAATTGTCTCTATTTGCAGACGACATGATAGTATACCTAGAAGACCCCATTGCCTCAGCCCAAAAACTCCTGAAACTGATAAACAACTTCAGCAAAGTCTCAGGATATAAAATCAATGTGCAAAAATCACAAGCATTCGTCTACACCAATAACAGACTTAAAGAAAGCCAAATCAAGAGCGAACTGCCATTCGCAATTGCTACAAAAAGAATAAAATACCTTGGAATACAACTCACAAGGAACGTAAGGGACCTCTTCAAGGAAAACTACAAACCACTGCTCAACGAAATCAGAGAGGACACAAACAGATGGAGAAACATTCCATGTTCATGGTTAGGAAGAATTAATATCGTGAAAATGGCTATACTGCCCAAAGTAATTTACAGAATCAACGCTATCCCCATCAAGCTACCATTGACTTTCTTCACAGAACTGGAAAAAACCACCATGAACTTCATATGGAACCAAAAGAGAGCCCGCATAGCCAAGTCAATTCTAAGCAAAAAGAACACAGCGGGGGGCATCACACTACTGGATTTCAAACTATACTACAAGGCTACAGTAATCAAAACAGCATGGTACTGGTACCAAAACAGAGATATAGACCAATGGAACAAAACAGAGGCACCGGAGGCAACACAACATACATACAACTATACAATCTTTGATAAACCTGACAAAAACAAGCAATGGGGCAAGGATTCCATGTTTAACAAATGGTGTTGGGAAAACTGGGTAGCCATGTGCAGAAAGCAGAAACTGGATCCCTTCCTGACACCTTACACTAAAATTAACTCCAGATGGATTAAAGACTTAAACATAAGACCTGGCACCATAAAAACCCTAGAAGGAAATCTAGGCAAAACTATCCAGGACATAGGAGTAGGCAAGGACTTCATGAACAAAACACCAAAAGCATTGGCAACAAAAGCCAAAATAGACAAATGGGACCTAATGAAACTCCACAGCTTCTGCACGGCAAAAGAAACAGTCACTAGAGTGGATCGGCAACCAACAGAATGGGAAAAAATTTTCGCAGTTTACCCATCTGACAAAGGGCTGATATCCAGAATTTACAAAGAACTCAAACAGATTTACAGGAAAAAAACAAAGAAGCCCATTCAAAAGTGGGCAAAGGATATGAACAGATACTTTACGAAAGAAGACATATATGAGGCCAACAATCATATGAAAAAATGCTCATCGTCACTGGTCATCAGAGAGATGCAAATCAAAACCACATTGAGATACCATCTCACGCCAGTTAGAATGGCGATCATTAAAAAATCTGGAGACAACAGATGCTGGAGAGGATGTGGAGAAAAAGGAACACTTTTACACTGTTGGTGGGAGTGTAAATCAGTTCAACCATTGTGGAAGACAGTGTGGCGATTCCTCAAGGCCTTAGAAATAGAGATTCCATTTGACCCAGCAATTCCATTACTGGGTAAATATCCAAAAGACTATAAATCGTTCTAATATAAGGACACATGTACACGAATGTTCATTGCAGCACTGTTTACAATAGCAAAGACCTGGAATCAACCCAAATGCCCATTGATAATAGACTGGATTGGAAAAATGTGGCACATATACACCATGGAATATTATGCAGCAATCAGAAATGATGAGTTCGTGTCGTTTGTAGGGACATGGATGAATCTGGAGAACATCATCCTCAGCAAACTGACACAAGAACAGAAAATGAAACACTGCATATTCTCACTCATAGGTGGGTGATGAAAAATGAGAACACATGGACACAGAAAGGGGAGTACTAAACACTGGGGTCTATTGGGGGGAAAAAGGGAGGGCCAGTGGGAGAGGGAGGTGGGGAGGGATAGCCTGGGGAGAAATGCCAAATGTGGGTGAAGGGGAGAAGAAAAGCAAAGCACACTGCCATGTGTGTACCTACGCAACTGTCTTGCATGCTCTGCTCATGTACCCCAAAACCTATAATCCAATAAAAAATTAAAAAAAAAATTATTTAAATTAAAAAACAAAAAAATAAAGCAACAAAGATATAGTGGTAAAAGGATCAATGCAACAACAAGAGCTAATGATCCTAACACCCAGATACATAGAGACTTAGACTCAATGAGACAGAAAATTAATAAGGATATCAAGGACTCAAACTCAGATCTGGAATAAGTAAACTTAATAAATATTTATAGAGCTCTCCACTTCAAATACACAAAATACACATTCTTGTCAATACCACATCACACCTACTCATAGGTTTAAATGAAATATTGATTGGCCATTATTAATACCTATTTTTTTTAGAATAAATCAACATTTCCGTTCTCTCTCCCTCTTTTTCTTCCTCTTTCTTCCTCTCCTTCACTCCTTTTTTTTCTTTCCTTCTCTCAAAAAAAGAAGAAAAGAAATCAACTTGTAGACCTCTAGATCCAGGTCGGCAATGTCTCTCTGATTGCCTGCTTTCCTTCCTTCCCTTCTCTCCCTCGCTCCCTCGCTCCCTCCCTCCCTCCGTCCATCCCTCTCTTCCTCCTTTCCTCCCTTCCTGCCTTCCTCCCTTCCTACAAAAAAAATTCAAAACATATGTGAAAATACAATATAAGTAGAATAACATGCAAATAGTAGTGAAAACATTTTCAACTCATATAAGAATTAGAGTCCTTGATAGCTAAAGAATTTGCAAACATCAGTAAGAAAATTCCAAACTCTAATATCTAAGAAAAAAGTACAAAGAAATCATTCAGAAAAAAATACATAGAAAAGCAATTAAGCATAATATTAATGAAAGGTATAGAAGTCAAAACTAATATAATACTTTTTCTGTCTATGGCAAATATGAAAAGAAAAGATTCTACCTCAAGTTGACATACATCATTAGACATACACTACTAGAAAAATTTTAAATACTTTTTTTGAAAATACTTTAGCAGTATATATGAAAAGCCATATCAATGCTTATTTCTTTTGATCCAGTATTCATTTAATACACAGAGTTCAATATAATAAACATTTACTGGGTGGCATTTACATGTTAGTTACTGTAATTTTAATTCTAGAAATCTACAGAAATAAGTAAAAAATCAGAAAATAACTTGATGTAGAAAGATGTTCAATACATTGTTATTTAGAATAAAGAAACACTGACAATGACCTGGATGTGCAAGGGGGAGGAGAGTTCAGGTTCTAAATGGTGGTTTAATAATTACATAATACGTTAGCATCCGAGAATAGGCATACAAGAAAAAAAAGTCAATGGGAAGAAAGATCAGAAGAAAATGTTTAAACTAAAACATACCTTCTTCAATATAAGAAGTACACCCTGTAGTTTGTTTTGGCTCACTTGAACTTAGCTGGATACTTTGTCTAAAATTCTACAAAGATAGAATATTGAATTAAAACATATTTCCATATTTAAAATTCATAATATATACATGAATTTTTTAAAAAAACTTTTAATTGCTGTATATATTTTTAGCTATAATTGTTCATGTAACTTGTATATTACATTTTCAAGCTGAATTCAATAATTATTATAATAAAGATTTTCTATGGTAATTGAATATTATGAAAATGTTTTACGTCCACTAAAAAGTTTTCAAGTTATGATATTGTCCTGGATATTTGGAAGAGGTAAAGTAAGTTGGATGATAATCAAAAGTGCTAATTAGGCCAGGCACGGTGGCTCACTCCTGTAATCCCAGCACTTTGGCAGGCTGAGGCAAGTGGATCACGAGATCAGGGTCAGGAGACCAAGACCATCCTGGCTAACACAGTGAAACCCTGTCTCTACTAAAAAGGGCATGGTGGCACACGCCTGTAGTCCCAGCTACTCAGGAGCCTGAGGCAGGAAAATCACTTGAACCCAGGAGGTAGACGATGCAGTAAGCTGAGATTTTGCCACTGCACCCCAGCCTGTGCAACAGAGTGACACTCCATCTCAAAGAAAAAAAAAAAAGAAATATGAATTAAATAAAAGGTAAGAAAGTACCTTAAAGTTTAAAACCTAGTTGGTTTATCATTGTAAGGGTGAATCACAACTATTAGTCAAAAGCATCTGATTACAGTTAATGTCAAGGATAGATAAATATCTTATGTGACAAAACACAAATAGCTGCCCCAATGCTGCACAGAACCTTAAAAATGTAAGTCTCAGAACACTGGCAAAAAGTGTATGCATCCAGCACTTTCTGAGAGATACCAACTTCCCTTTCCTGAATATGGTCTACCTCCTTCTTTATTCCCATTTTGTTTCACTCTTAGCAATAATTGTTTTCTCTTAGATAAAACTGCCCGGCTAAAAAAAAAAAAAAAAAAAAAAAGAAAAGAAAAAACTGCCTGGCTATGACTATCCATAGCTTTTGTTCAATCTGATCTGAGGAGAAACTGCAGATTTTTGCAACAGTTATCCTTCAGTAGATCTTATAGTTTTGTTTGATCTCCATTATCGATGTGAGATACCTTGGACTGAAACCCTGGTGCAAAGTGACAACTGTACGTTTTCTATCTTTCACTTATCTCTTTGAGATTTTCTCCATATGGATGTCACGGGCTGGAGAAAATCCAGTATAATAACATGCATTTCTTAATACAAAGTGACAAGGCCACTGCTGTAGTAACTGAACCCTTGCTTACACTCGGAATAAAAAACAAAAACAAAACAAGACAACATGATAAGGACAAAAAAATTTGGTTCAGGAACACTGACCTACATATTCTTGGGCTAATAAGACTTTGGAAGATGTGTAAGTGGATGTGTGAGTGGAAGATCTATTTGTGAAAGGGGAAGTGAGGTTTCTGAAAAGGACAAAAATGGACTCTAAATACAGTAAGACAGAATGCAAAAGAGCAAGAGATAGAATAGAATAAGACATAGCAAAAATAAAATGAATTTATAGAGGGCACTAATAACAGGCATTTAAAATTTTGTTCATTTTCTTGGTTATAACAACTACATATTACTTTTAAATTTATAATATATTAATGAAAATAAAGAAAAATTAAGCGTAAGGATGTTTTCACATTATGGATCTTGAGATGTTTGATGGGACATGGCAGTTGAAATGGAAGGCTTTATTAGGCATTATTATATTTGTAATCAGGAAGTTATGTCTGTAATTAACCATTGTGCTATTAAGCAATGAAAATATGTAGGTAATGAGATTAACTTTATTTACATAAATATACAACTAAATGACTTGCTTTGCTGATAAGATTAGGTAATTATTGATTATTCTCCACATTAATAATCTTATTCATATAAAAATCAGTATTTCCTATAATATACAAATCACAGGACCCTAAACTGATAACTTGGAATATAAATTCTTCATATGGCATTCTATTAAAAAATTCCAGTTCTATTAAAAAAGTCAGAGTGATATTTAAAGTGGAAACTCCAAGTGAAATGCTATTTGCTTATCTATCTAGACTTTTAATATTCTAAGGCTAATCCTTGGATCAAGTTAGACCTCTAGAAAAATGCCATATTTGACTTCATTTACTTAGATCTTACAGAATTACTTCTATTTACTTTAATCTTAATTTATTTAATATTTTTGAGAGACAGGGTCTCTCTCTGTTACCTGGGCTGGAGTACAGTGAAACAATCATAGCTTACTGCAGCCTCAGACTCCTGGGCTCATGCATCCTCTTATTTCAGCCTCCCAAATAGCTGGGACTACAGGCATGTACCAGCATGCCTGGCTAATGTTATTATTTTTACTTTTGCAGAGATAAGGTCTTGCTATGTTGCTCAGGCTGGTCTTGAACTCCTGAGCTCAAGTAATCCTCCTGCCTTGGCCTCCCAAAGTGCTGGGACTACAGGCATAAGCCACCACGCCTGGCCATTATTTTAAAATTGTTACTACGCTTTTCAGTTTTATTGAAGATCTCGATCTTGAACAGCCATATCAAATGCTTTATTCATTTGTTGTGGAACTATTATTAGGAACTATTCATTATGTATTTCAAAATTCCCTATGAAAAGTCCTCAATGGGAAATGTTTTAAAAAACTGTATCCCAAACAACAACATCATTATCAATATCCCTTGAGAATTATATAACTCATCTAATTTTCCTTTTTGCCATGTCTTCCAGAAGCTCAGACACAAATAGATCATATGGAACTATAGTTGTCTTTATAGTTAGCCGCATTTTTTTTTTTTTTTTTGAGATGGAGTCTTACTCTTGTTGCCCAGGATGGAGTGTAATGGTGCAATCTCTCAGCTCACTGTAACCTCCTCCCGAGTAGCTGGGATTACAGGTGCCTGCCACCATGCCTGGCTAATTTTTTGTATGTTTAGTAGAAACGAAGTTTCATCATGTAAGTCAGGCTCGTGTTGAACTCCTGACCTCAGGTGATCCACCCACCTCGGCCTCCCAGAGTGCTGGGATTACAGGTGTGAGCCACTGCACCTGGCCTAGCATACTTGTTTCTTCAATCTGTGTCTCTAATTTACTTTTCTTTCTTTTTAAAGTATATATTTAGCTTTGTTGAATTTTGTTGTGAAAGACCTTATTTTTTTTCCAGCATTAGCTATCAATAATAACAAATAAAATAATAATGGTGATTTAAAGTTGGTTTAAAACTTTCACTAGTAACTGATTTTACAGTCTAACTGGAATACAGCAAGTAGATATAGTGCAATAATCTCCCATAAAGATTCCAATATTGCTTTACAAATGGCTTTGGGTATAATTATGTTTATGTTGTGGTATACAGTTTACAGGCACAGCACAGTCCTTTAAGAACCTATGTTTTCCAAGCAATTTTCCAATACTGAATAAAGATTTTGATGACTATTGTACTTACGTTAATTTGCTCATTGTACTTCTGTCCTACAGATCCAGGGTTTTGTCTTTTCTGCTCTGAAATATTTCTCCGCTTAGTTTCAATAATTCTTTTTCTTCTCATAACAGTAGACCCTTAAACAAATGCAAGCACAATGTCAAATATTATGCAAGTTGAGTAGCTACTAACATCAAGAAAACTCTGTAAGTTTAATTCATCCTGTGAGCATATTTTATTGAGCTCCTCTTATATGTTCTATACATGGTACAGTTAAAGTGATGAATTCAACAACATGCTTGCTTCTGAGGGATTTATAGTTTAGAGCAGTAACCTCCAGAGCATGATGTAGAACACCAGAAGGTTGCATAAGATAATCCACTGGTGTGCTGGAAGAACATATTAGAATTCTAATTCATATTTATTATCTAAAAATTAGAAGTTAAACTTTACTCATGTAATACATGACAGACACTGGCACCCTGGTTATTTTGCAAGGTAGATGCTCATATAATGCATGAAGTAAACTCAGTTATCTTAGAAGAGTTAAAGTTCCAAGCTTGAGAGTTTGACAGTGGTATCAACATTCATTAGTTCTCTTTAGCTTCCTGTAATGTACTAAAATTTATATATGCACAGGTAAGTGAATTTATGCATATCTTATAGTATCTTAGGAAGTCCTCACAAAATAACAAAGTGGCTAGAATAACTCTTGTAGGGCTCCTACTATATCTATGATGTTTATTATTTAAGGTGAATTGTAGGTACATGAATGTTTATCATATTTTTCTTTGCTTTTTATGACTATTTAAAAACATATTCTTGCAAAATCACAGATCAAAATAATGCTAGTAATGCAAAGATAGGTAAACAACAGCAAGGCTAACACATTTCTTTTTCTCATTACAAACTCTTTGCCACATAATGACAGTAACATCACAAATTCAAAAATTATCAATTATAACAATAACTTTTACTCTAACTGTATATTGTGCTGTGAGATATTAGCTAATAATATCATACAGAATGTAAAATTTTACTTTACCTTATATTTAACCAATTTCTGATTAAGGTTCTTAATGAATATATTAGTAGTGTAATATATGTGTATGCTATATATGTGTTCAAAATTCTTATTAATAGATTACAATAAAAAGTCTTAGAATCCATTGGTTTAGAAGAATGAATATAAATGAATTATTGCCATAAAATGCTCAAATTGGACATATAGCTATAAACGGAATTAAGTGAAAGCACAGAGGGTACAGTGACTTTGTACGAATAAGGAAAAGTTTCATAAAGTTTGTCTGAGCTTGGTCTTAAAGGAGTAGTTAACCTTCTGGCCCCGTTTTTTTTAAGAAAGGTAGTAGGTTACCAAATAAAAGAGCACATTTAATTAATTAATTAATTTATTTATTTATTTTTGAGATGGAATCTTGCACTGTTGCCCAGGCTGGAGTGCAGTAGGGCAATCTTAGCTCACTGCAACCTCCACCTCCCAGGTTCAAGTGATTTTCCTGCCTCAGCATCCTGAGTAGCTGGGATTCCAGGTGCGTGCCAGCATGCCCAGGTGATTTTTGTAGTTTTAGTAGAGACGGGGTTTCACCGGTGAGCCACCGCGCCCAGCCTAAAAGGACAGTTTGAGTCAGAAAGAACATTATGTACAAAGGCATAATGATGACACATATTTAAGTTTCGTGGGGCCAAGGGTGAAAATTCAATTGGTCTGGGACATAGATATGCACGTGTGTAAGCACTTATATGTCTTGGGAAATAAATGGAAATGTGTGCATGTGCTTAATGATAAGAGCCTTACAGAAAAGCCTTCACTTGACAGGGCGCAGTGGCTCACGCCTGTAATACTAGGACTTTGGGAGGCTGAGGTGGGTGGATAACCTGAGGTTGGGAGTTTGAGACCAGACTGACCAACATGGAGAAACACCGTTTCTACTAAAAATACAAAAAAATTAGCCAGGTGTGGTGGTGCATGCCCGTAATCCCAGCTACTCGGGAGACTGAGGCAGGAGAACTGCTTGAACCTGGGAGGCTGAGGTTGAGGTGAGCCGAGTTCAAGCTATTGCACTCCAGCCTGGGCAACAAGAGCGAAACTCAGTCTCAAAACAAAACAAAACAAACAAAAAAGACTTTACCTTTCAAGAAAGTAAGCTAGTAACTGAATACCTGACATCTGAGAGTAAGAAATAATAACGTAATACTAATATTTATTTAGCATTTATACTTTGGCAGGTATTGTTCTAAGGGCTATAGGTGCTATTATCATCATTATTCTTACATATAAAAATTAAGATGAAAAAATGTTCAATACCACTAATCATTAGAGAAAGGCGAATCAAAACCACAATGAGATACCATTTCACACTCAGCATAACTACTATTAAAAAGCCAAAAATTAACATGCTGGTGAGGTTGTAAAGAAAAGGGAATATTTATATGTTGCTGGTGGGAATCTAAATTAGTTCAGCCATTGTAGAAAGCAGTTGGGAAATTTCTCAAAGAACTTAAAGTAGAAGTACCATTCAACTTCTATTTTATAAATCTTTCTATCATAAAGACACGTGCATGTGTATGCTTACTGCAGTTCTACTCACAATAGCAAAGACATGGCATCAACCTAAGTGCCCATCAATGGTAGGCTGGATAAAAAAAGTGTGGTACATATACAACACGGAATACTATGTAGACATAAAAAGGAACAAGATCATGTCCTTTGTGGCAACATGGATGGAGCTAGAGGCCATTAATCTAAGCAAACTAACACAAAAACCTAAGGAAACCAAATACTGCATGTTTTCACGTTTAAGTGGGAGCTAAACTTTCGTAATGAAGGGAAGAACAGACCCTGGGGCCTACTTCAGGGTTCAGGGTGGGAGGAGAGTGAGAACTGAAAAACAACCTATTAGGTACTATGCCTATTGCCTGGGTGACAAATAATCTGTACACCAAAACCTAGTGACATGCAATTTACCTATATAACAAACATATACATGTACTCCTGAACCTAAAATAAAAGTTAAAAAAAGAAACAAAATAAGAAATTAAGGCTCTGGGGTGGGAGGAGGATAAGTAACTTGCCTAACATCACAGAGCAAGTAAGGGGCAAAGCTAGGGATTCAGCTCCAATTAGTTGCGCTCTAAAATCTAAACTTCTAGCTCTTACCCATATGCTAGTAATTTTCATTCTGATTTGACTGTGTCTCATAGAAATAAATATATTTTACATTGTAACCTTTGATACATATGTATTTTTATAAAATATATTTATCCTCACAACATATGATACCTTCTAAGTTTCCATTCTAGAATATTCTAATTCTAAAATTAGGCTTCATTAAAAAATATTAGTTACCAGTTGTTTCCACCTGTAGTGATATGCTAAGTGCTATATATGCAAACTGTTATAGTTTCCCGTGAGATAATTTGGGCAGCAATATAGATTCTATGTTGTTTTCTATTCTTGGAATTTTCTTTCACCAAATCTTCAGAAGTCCTCATTTTTCTTTATCTAAAAAGCTTTAAACACCTTGAATAAAAATTTCCTTGTTCACATAACTGCTGTGTCAAGGTTTTATCTCATCCCTCAGTTTGCTCATCAATCTTCTGAAATCACTTTTATACTTTCTTGATTGAATTATTTATCATTGTGCTTTACTGTTCTTTGTGTTCTTTTTTTTTTGTTTGTTTGTAGAAAGTGATTTATTTTAAAGAAAGAGACAAACAGGAGAGAAAGAGAGAAAGAAACAGCTAACTCTCACCCTGAGTGAGAAAATCCAGAAAGATGGAATCCAGGAGAGGAAAGCAGCTTCCACACTGAGTGGAAGGGAATAGAGAAAGAGATGGAGTTTAGGAGGGGAAGACAAGCTTCCATGAGAGTGTGTGGAAGGGGACTCCAGAGGGAAAATCCAGGATAGAGAAAAACAGCTTCCATGAACAAAGTGTTCATGGAAGGGGATCCAAATATGGAGTCCCATTCTTTGTGTTCTTTGTAGTTTTGTGGATTGTAGATTATTGATCACAGGAAAATACACAGTATATGCTTAAAACTGTTTATGTATTTTTCTATTCACATACGTGTGCTTAAATATTATCTAGCAATTAATACAATAGCTGAGCACTTTGCTATTTTTGCAAAAATAATGTAGCTTACACTGGTGTCTCTGGCCAAATTCCTAGTTTCATATGAAAATTCTAGATACAATAGTTTCACCACGAAAACTCAAAACTACTAATCTTCAATAAAGCATTATAATTTAAAAAGTCTGTAGTATTCTTAATTGTAAACATAAGAAAAAATACTGGAGATGTTCTTAGAATTAGAGCTTTGGAAAAAATCTTAGAAGTTAACTAGTTCAACATGTAACCCCTGGATCTAAATTACTCACAGGTGGACATTCAACCACTGCTTGAAAGGCATAGTGATGAGGAGCTACTACCTCATGGGGCATCCTCTTCCCTTGTTGGATAGTTCAAATCCTTCCTTATGTTGAGCTGAAAACCTCTCTGCAACTTTCACCCTTTCATTTCACTTCTGTTTACTCCTTCTTCTTTGTAATAAGCCTTCAAATATTTGTACACAGCTATCATGTCTCTTAGGCTTGTGTTTCTTTAATTGACTTTTAGACTGAACTTTTCCGCTCATAGCCCTGGGTAATTCTGGTTTGTTTATAAAGCCCTTAAAACACATATCCTAAAAATCCTAAAATGACATAGAATATAGCAGTACTTCTAAAGATCTGCTTGTTATTGCCTAAAATTATTGTCTAAAATTATATTGACTTTGTAACAGCTCTGGTAAACTTCTATTTTTTTTTGCTTTGTTTTGTGTGTGTGTGTGTGTGTGTGTGTGTGTGTGTGTGTGTTTTAACAAAGAAGAGTTACCAAGACTGGTATCTTTCTTCTTGGAAGTATAAAATTGATCTAAAAAAGACTAAATACATACAAGCAACTGTAAAGGAACAGGCCACATTGAAAAAAACTTTTAGTCATTAAAAAGTAAAAATATCGATCACAAATTTGCAGAATAGAATCACAACACATATACTCTATGTTGGATCTGTATGTAGAATATATAAAGAACTTCCATCAATAAGAAATTAAAAAAATATAAAAATAGGCAAAG